TCCCATGAGTCTGTTTCCTGGGAGAGGAAGGTGGTGGAGAAGTCTGTTAGGAAGTGGAGGAAGTGGTGGAGTGGCAATACAGGGCTGAGGGCCTGGCAGAAGTTCATGCACCTGGTGGCTGCAGTCTGTACTTGTGTGGCTTTTCTCATCAGAGCTCTTTGGTCCTGGTACGGGCTGGAGTTTTGTAGGCCAAGTGAAAAAGGAAGCAAAAGGGTAACAGGATTGAGGGGATGGAGATGAAGAATGGTTGAAGTGACAGCATAAAATCCAAGGCAGATACAGAGGAAGGGCCAGGAGGGGCTGAGAGAATAACCTGGAGCAGTCAGTGAACTGAAAGGCAAAGAATGAACTCAGTGAGAATATGTAGGACCAAGAAGGCATCATTAGAGGACAGGTGAGTCTAGATCAGGGGTGGGCAAACTTTTTGACTCGAGGGCCACAATGGGTTCTTAAACTGGACTAGAGGGCCGGAACAAAAGCATGGATGGAGTGTTTGTGTGAACTAATATAAATTCAAAGTAAACATCCTATCTAATAAAAGAGAAACATGGTAATTAGTGTACGACCGCTACCCTTCCCATTGGCTAATCAGGGCGATATGCAGATTAACTGCCAGCCAAGATGGCGGCCAGCAGCCAGGCAGCTGGAAGTTAACATGAGGCTTGCTTGCTTCAGTGACGGAGGACTCCAACGTTCCCCACCTGCCGCTGCCAGCCTCTGAGCTGCAACTCTAAGCAACTATGTTACAAATATAGAAGCTAAACAAAACCCCAGAAACCTGCTTTAGTCGCCGGGCTTCAGCCAGCAGGATCGCAACATTGTTTCAAATACAGAAGGTAAACAAAGGCCAGAAACCTGCTTTCAGCAGCCGAGGCCTAAGAGCTGGAGCCTCAGAGCTAAAGCTGGCCCAGAATGAAAAAAAAAAAAAGAAAAAAAGGAGGGGTTGGGAGCTTCAGCCACCTGCCAGCCTGAAAACAGCCCTCAGCCCCTCACCCAGACTGGCCAGGCACCCCAGTGGGGACCCCCACCCTGAAGGGTGTGTGACCAGCTGCAAAAAGCCATCATCCCCTCACCCAGGCTGGCCAGGCACCCCAGTGGGGACCCCCACCCTGATCCAGGACACCCTTCAGGGCAAACCAACCAGCCCCCACCCATGCACCAGGCCTCTATTCTATATATTAAAAGGGTAATATGCCTCCCAGCACAGGGATCAGTGGAGCCGCGAGGCCTCCCGGCACCGGGATCAGCGTGACAGGGGGCAGCGCCCAAACCCCTGATTGCCCTGTGGCTCTGTGTGTGACAGGGGGAGGGGCCACAACCTCCCTATCCACCCTGCTCTGTTCGTGACAGGGGAAGGCGCCCCAACCCCCTGATCAGCCCTGCTCTGTGCCTGATAGGGGGGAGCTCCCCAACCCCCTGATCGCCCTGCGGCTCTGTGTGTGACAGGGTGCGGTGCCCCAACCCCCCCCCCCCCACGGGCCCTGCTCTGTGTGTGATGGGGTAGAGCCATAACCTCCCCATCGGCCCTGCTCTGTGTGTGGCAGGGTGCGGCGCCCCAACCCCCTGATCGGCCCTGCTCTGTGTGTGACAGGGTGCGGTGCCCCAAACCCCCCCCCCCCACGGGCCCTGCTCTGTGTGTGACGGGGTAGAGCCATAACCTCCCCATCGGCCTGCCCTGAGTGTGACAGGGTGCGACACCCCAACCCCCTGATCCGCCCTGCTCTGTGTGTGACAGGGGGGAGCTCCCCAACCCCCTGATCGACCCTGCTCTGTGCGTGACAGGGTACAGAGCCCCAACCCCCCTGATGGGCCCTGCTCTGTGAGTGACAGGGGGCAGCGCCCCAACCCCCTGATTGGCCCTGCTCTGTGCATGACGGGGTGGCGCCACTACCTCCCCATTGACCCTGCCTTGAGTGTGACAGGGGTCAGTGCCCCAACCCCCCAATTGGCCCTACCCTGAGCGTGACTGAGGGTGGCATCGCAACCTCCCGATCCGCCCTGCTCTGTGCATGACAGGGGGCGGCGCCCCAACTCCCCAATCAGCCCTGCTCTGAGCCCGACCAGGGGCTGCACCTAGGGATTGGGCCTGCCCTCTGCCACCTGGGAGCAGGCCTAAGCCAGCAGGTCGTTATCTCCCGAGGGGTCCCAGACTGCGAGAGGGCACAGGCTGGGCTGAGGGACCCCCCCTTCCCCCTGAGTGCACAAATTTTTGTGCACCGGGCCTCTAGTCATTACATAAAAGGGTACGGTCTTTTTTTTTTTTTTTTTTTTAGTTTTATTCATTTCAAACGGGCCGGATCCGGCCCGCTGGCCGTAGTTTGCCCACGGATGGTCTAGATGCTGCAATGGTCCAGGGTTTGCTGAAGTGGAGCAAGCAGAGGAGGAGGGTATTGGAGATGTATCATGGTCTCTTTGTATGGAGAAAAGCATATAAACCAGTGCTCAAGTCTTGAGTGAATTGGGAGGCTTGTCCCCTCAGGGCTCTATCCTTTCCCAAGGTTTCAGGAAGCAGAAGGGTGCCATCTGAAATCCCCACCCAACCCACTTCCTTGGGACGCCAGATGACCAGGTGGACTCTTCATTGTTTTAAGGGTTGCTCATTTTCCCAGGAAAACACAAGGGGATGTTCTCCATTCATTAAAGTGCTCATAGTTTCTTGCTGATAAGTTCTGATTCCCTCTAATATCCTATCTAATAAAGAGGGAATATGCTAATTGACTGCCCCACACTCAAAGATGGTGGCGCCCACAGCCAATAAGGAGGGAATTTGCTAACTGACTGCCCCTTCCTCAAATATGGAGGCACCCACAGCCAATAAGGAGGGAATATGCTAATTGACTGCCATGCCCAAAAGATGGTGCCCACAGCCAATAGGAGGGAATGTGCTAATTGACCGCCCCTCCCTCAAAGATGGCAGCGCCCACAGGCTATAAGGAGGGAATATGCTAACTGACTGCCCCTTCCTCAAAGATGGCAGCGCCCACAGCCAGTAAGGAGGGAATATGCTAGTTGACTGCCCCTCCCTCAATGATGGCAGTGCCCACAGCCAATAAAGAGGAAATATACTAATTGAATGCCACGCCCTAAAAGATCACAACACCCACAGCCAATAAGGAGGAAATAATGCTATTTGACTGCCCCACCTTCAAAGATGGAGCCCCCCACAGCCAATAAGGAGGGAATATGCTAATTGACAGCCCCTTCCTCAAAGATGGTGGCACCCACAGCCAATAAGGAGGAAATATAATAATTGAATGCCATGTCCTGAAAGATGGCAACACCCACAGACAATAAGGAGGAAATAATGCTAATTGACTGCCCCTCCCTCAAAGATGGTGGCGCCCACAGCCAACAAGAAGGGAATATGCTAATTGACTGCCCCACCATCAAAATGGTGGCCCCCACAGCCAATAAGAAGGGAATATGCTAGTTGACTGCCCCACCATCAAAGATGGAGGCGCCCACAGCCAATAAGGAATACGCTAATTGAATGCCACGCCCTCAAAGATGGTGGCACCCACAGCCAATAAGGAATATCCTAATTGCTGCCACACCCTCAAAGATGGCAGCACCCACAGCCAATGAGGGAATATGCTAATTGACTGCCATGCCCAAAAAGATGGTGGCGCCCACAGCCAAGGAGGGCATATGCTGACTGACTGCCCTTCCCTCAAAGATGGTGGCGCCCACAGCCAATAAGGAGGGAATATACTAATTGACTGCCCTGCCCTCAAAGATGGTGGCACCCACAGCCTATAAGGAATATGCTAATTGCTGCCACACCCTCAAAGATGGAAGCACCCACAGCCAATAAGGAGGAAATATGCTAATTGAATGCCACGCCCTCAAAGATGGCAATGCCCACAGCCACAAGATGTCAGCGCCCAGTCCCCTTCGCCCCGCTGGTGCTCCGCACGTTTGCCTCCAGAGTCTTCCAGTCCTCTCAGCTCCCCAGCCGCCCAGGGCTGGCCCGAGATGTAGGCAAGCCTTGGATGTTGGCTGCCCAGCCGCCCAGGGTCACCTAAGGCACAGGTAACCAGGGCCGGCCGAGGCTTGTGCTGACGGCAGTGGCAGCAGCAGAGGTGTGATGGGGACATCACCTTCCTCTGATCGCCGGGTCACCTCCCGCCCCTGAGGGCTCCCGGACTGTGAGAGGGGGCAGGCCAAGCTGAGGGACCCCCCTTCCAGTGCATGAATTTTCATGCACCGGGCCTCTAGTAGTAAATATAACCCAGGGGTTCTGCCCTTTGTTTTTATTGCCCTGGGCCTAAGGCTCATCAAAGACTACTGCCCTCTCCTCCCAACTCTGCCTTTAGCTGAAATGTGGTTTGACTAAGTGCTCTTATGTTCTGGTGACCCATCATGTAGGAGCATGCAGAAGGAACCTGTCTCACTGGACCTCCAGTGCTGTCCTGCAACAACCATGTGTGGGTGGGTAGGTTGAATAGCTCGAGAACATGAGCCCCAGAGACGTGTAGCAATGATCTAGAAGCTGCAACCTGTGCCCACCCCATCCCCCTCACTGAAGTCCATGGGCCCAAATGTGCAGCCTTCCAAATAAGCACTGTCCCCAAGGAGGGAAGCCCAATGGTGGATATCAGCCACTGAGGACATAGCAGTGTTCAACAGGGGCCCAGGACTCTACGAGGCACAACATAAGGGTAGTCAACAAAATAGAGATTGTGATGATTTCTCCATTGATACCCTTCAGCCACAGTGCTCTTTCTACCCCCATCCCCCTGGTCAAAGATGATCAATTTGACCCTTTTAAGGGATGGCAACATCTGGGAAGTGCTATTTTGGGTCAGAATGGGTTTTTGTTGTTTTTAATTGGATCCAAGCACTGTTATAGGTCTGTTTTGTCTTGTTTGTAATTTGTGTCCCATGCAATTGCATAGAACTGAGTATGTCCTTGAAGAAAGAAAAAAATTCAGGTTTTAGGATCAGTAGTAACACCTTATAGCAATTACACTGGGTAGAATAAAATGACAGGAGGCAAGTTATTTATATGCTACTTTTATTTCTGTAAGGATACACTGAAACGTTAGATGATATTAGCTAATGACAAAATGTAGAAATGAGGCATCGGCTTCTCTAACCATAGCTACAAGAATGTTAATATGTATTGTCATTACATGTTCACTTTGATATCATCTCATTTTATTATGTAATATAACAATTAGATAGAATACAGTAAGTAGGTGATCCGGCATCTCAGGTAAGCACTACATGGAAATCTGCCTGTGAGGACAGTGACCTCCCCACTCCCCCAGAAATCGAGCTAAGCTCTTGAGGAACAGTCCTAAGAATCACAAGAGACATTGGTGAGCCTCTTCAACAGATCAGCAAAAGAACAACAACTATTATGTTACAAGGGATTCAACTTGCCACTGTTTGGAAATGTCACATCCATGTCAATGATCGTCCTGATGGTTGCTCAGCTACCCCTCTAGAGATTTATGGTTACTTCTATAGGATGACTTCAAACTGCAGGAACGTTCGAGGGGGCTAAAATGTTTTCATGCAAGTCTCCAAACCCATAATCTATGCTGTTATTAATTAAAACAAAATATTATTAATTAAACACACCCAACAGCTGGGTTAGTTTTGTTAAGCTTCCAGAAGTATTCACTGTGACGATGTTCCTCTGAAACAGGCTCGTTCTCTCAGATCTGCCTACACTTTCCACATCACCTGCATGTTCCATGCTTGAAAGTAGGAACGTTCAGAAAACACGGCACACGGGGAACTCAAATGTTAGTACGGGGGGAAAGGTCAGTTTAGCATCACAGCTAAGTTCAAATGTTAATTTTCTAGAAATTCATATTAGTCGATCAAAAGCACAAAAGAACAGAAGGAAGGTTTTGATGAAGTTAAACCATGCATTTCGGTAAATTCTCTTTCTGCTCACAGAACACAGGGTGAGCAATGAGTTGAAGCAGCCGCTACAACTCTTGTGTGTCTTGTGATGACACGGTGGGTCCCAGCTGAGTCACGAAGGGCATCTCAGTGGGGGCTTTATTTCTTAGGCTTGTTGCTTATATCACTAAGCAGCTAAATGGTTAGCACTTTTCTGCTCTATGATAAACATGCAGAAGAGTCAATCTAAGTGTTCATTTTTTAATGCAGCCATTGCAAAATTAACTTTGCTGCAGAGTTGGTTTTGCTAAATTCTAGAATGATCACTGTGCCCTTATTTGAGTAATACTGTAAAATGGGAGAAAAGACAGAAACAACTTTGAAGAGGTGAAAGGCCGCTCTTTCCCTATGGATGGTATAGGGCAGAGGGTGAGGACACAAATAACAATACTCAATTCCATTTTACAGGACAGGAGCCCCTGTCACTTTACAGCTTTTTGGCACAGTCGGGACAATACACATGCTCCTGATGGAAAACAAAGCGCTTGTTGGCCAGATTCACGGAGCATTTTTTGCAGTGGAAGCAGTAGTCGTGCCAGGATTGTCCTTCATAGGCCACCACACTGGAGCCTTTACCAAACCCTGTGGAAAACACAAAAGAGAACAAAAGAGAAAATTGAGTGAATACAGGTGAGAGATACACGGCTGCCTTGCCCATTTACAGAGCTAATAAGCACAGGGCAGGATCTGCCCAGCTCCCAGGCCACCCCTCTCCACCGTGATCTGTCCCCTACGCCATGCCGCCGTGACCCTGCTACAGCTCTCAAGGACCTCAGAAGATTCCAGAGCTCAGCCAAAGGTTTCTGTGATTTAAAGAACCCACAATCCCATGCCACTTCAATCGCCCTGTAACACTTGCACCGACCTCCCAGCATAACCAGTTTCTTTGATTTAGGTCAGGGCCATGGCATCAAAGTGGCCACCAGGAGGCAAACTTGGGCTGTTCGTGGGGTATGCACTTACCGGGCCTCGAGGAGCTGCTAAGCTTCGATTTTTTCTATAAAGAACCACCACCCACGAGGGACAAGTCCTCTCTCCACCCGGATGCCTGCCCCGGAGGTTGGCGCTGGGAAACAGGGTGAGAGGCAAGCGTTTCCCGTGGCACACTGGGGGCTTCCTAGCTTTAGAGACTGGGTGGCTCACTCTTGACACAGTCCTTTTCCCTGAGGATGGCAAAAGTCTTCTCAAATGTACATTTCAAGGCTCCCCGGGGAGATGGGAACAGTGGAGGCGGGGAAAGGGCCCAGGGCACGTGGATCGCGGCCGCGAGATGAGGAATGAAATGATTAGCTCGGGTGGCAACAAAGCTGCCCACAGGCACCTCTGAGCTAGCCTTCAGCTATGGGGTGTTATGATCCCAGCCTATCACTCTTCAGCCTCCCTCCCCTTCCTTCCCCTAGCCTCTACCCCACCCTCACCACCCTTTTCCCCCCTCCCCTCCCCGCCCCCACCCCCACCCCCAATATCCCACGCGTGCGCAGTGCCTGCCCATGGCCTGCCCATGGCGTGGGTCTCAGGCTCGTGAACTCCGCAGCACAGCATCGTTAGTCAGCAGCAGTCAGGAAGTGTTCTGTATTGCAAAGGCTAACCTGGCCTGGGGGAGAATTCAAAACTATTTGGGGGTCTTCAGGACCACAATGGCAAGGGGAGGGGGCATTCTTTGGGGCCTTTATGGATGAAACCGAAGTAGGAAAATGAGAGTTGGTTACCATGCGCAAAACCTAGCCTGGCCGACTTAGCAAGGACTCTTTAGCCTACCAGTGATGGGGTTCTTGCATCCAGCACACTTCTTGGCCACAAAGTTCTTGTAGCAATCCACGCAGTAATACTGGTCCTCCACAGCGGTGAAACGCTGCCCAGCCAGCTTCTTAGAGCAGGTAACACACACAAAGCACTCGGCATGCCAGGGCTGATCCTGGTAAGTGATTCCTCCAGATGTGATGGCCTAGACCAGGGAGTGTAGCACCGAATTCAGATTCAACAACTCTTTTGTTGAATGCCTACTATGTACCAGGCACTGTGCTGGGCGCTTTGGTCTACAATATCTCATTTAATCACCATAACGGCCATGGGAGGCAGGTGCTATTATTATCCCCAGGTTACAGGTGAAGATACTGAGGCTCAGAGAAGGCAAACTAGGTGGTGGAGACAGGCCTCTAGAGCCCCGGCTGCCTGTGCCTCCAGGGTGAGTGCCTTTCAGACAGCCTGAGTTGGCCCCGTACCGTTTTCTACTCCCAGTCTCCTCATCTGTAAAATGAGCATAATAATTCCCACATCACAGGGCCGTTGTGGGGATGGAATGGGATAGTGTGTGTGCAAGTGCTCTGCCAACTGTCAAAAACGCTTCTAGAAACAATAGTCCATACAGAACTCCCTTGACAACATACCTTGTTGCACTTCACGCAATGCTTGGCAAATTTGGACTCATGGCAAGTCACGCAGTAGAAGTCCTCCCCTTTTGGGAAGAAGCTTCCAGAGCCGATGACTTGCTTGCAGTTGCTGCAGGTGAAGCAGTCTTTGTGCCAGACGGTCCCCTTGTACTCCACATTCTGATCTCCTGCAGGGGGAGGAAGCAATTGGATAGCCCCACTGATAGTGCTCTGCAGGGGGCTGCATCCACTCAACTCCAACCATGGGCCCTCCAGAGGTGAGGGAATGCAGGCCCTGCAGTGACTGGCCTCACGCTTCTGATGAACCTACCCGTGGGAGGTTCCTCAACAATGGCCTACTTGTGGGTGTGCCAACCCAGATCTGTCAGGGAGGGGACCCCAGCTGTAGTGTTTGAGGAATAGACACCCGAGACCCCACTCCCACACCCTTTGTGGACTTAGAGATTCTATAAGGGATGGTCTGACCCAGAGTTACATTCTAAGGAAAAAGCATGCTTCCATCACTTACTCTACCCAAATGAGAAAGTGCTACATACTTTTCACTTCCTTCTCTTGCCACAGACAGTTCTCTCCAGTGGTCTTTAGTTTCCGAATGTGTGCGTGTGTGCGAGCATATATGTGTACGCATGTATACATATATATATATATGCGTGCATATATATGCTAAAAGCTAAAAGCAGCTCCCAGTAGCATTAGCCCCATCGTCCCAAGCAACCCCACATCATCTCTGCCCATAGGCCTCCTCCCTGGCCATCCCAGGAGTGAGTATGGGCAGTACCTGCCACAATTGGCTTGAAGCAGCCCTTGCACTTGGGGGAGTCCTCCCGAGTGGTGCACTTGTTGCACAGGATCTTGTTGTCCTTGGACATAAAAGTCTCGTTGGCCAAGGGGTGCAGGCACTTGGCACAGCGGAAGCAGGTGTCATGCCAATAGCGGTTCTTATAGTGCACCTCCTGGAAACCAAGCAGAAGGGATGGGCTGCTGTGACACAGGGGTGCTAGGAGGGGGGCAGGGGCCTACTACTACCCCTTACACCTGGGGATGCCCTGACGTGAATGTTCTAATTGAGAAACATGAAGGACACTGAGGTGAGGATGGAAGACTCACAGTTTCTGAAACAAGAGAAAGTACAACCAACAGAGCTGGCATGGGCCTTGGCACCAGCCGCTCCAAGTCCTACACAGAGAGCTCAGGACACTGTCAAGGGAACAAGCACTAGAAGCAAGGGTGGCTGGCTCCTGGGCCAGGGCCTCTTGTTTCCTTGTCTCTGTGCCACTGCCTGTCCTGACTTCCACAGGGGTAGCTGCAATGATGAGGAGGACTCGGGAGAGGGCGGGCTTTTGTTGTCTCAGTCACAGGACAACCAACCCGTCCTGTCCCAATGTTACCTTGGAGTCTGCACCGATGGGCTTGCGGCATTCCACACAGGTGTTGGCGCAGAACTTGTCAAAGCACTTCAGGCAGCAGTGGTGGCCATCCTTTTCCACGTACTTCTTCCCCTGCAGGGGGTCCCTGCAGTAGTGGCAGTCAAACTTCTCAGCCATGGTGCCCACCTTGTACCTGGAGGGACCTATGGGGGCAAACAGAAAAAACAAATGACGAATGGAAAGACCAGCATACTGTGCTACAGAGGCTTCCGGGGAGGGGGAGGGGGGGAAGCTGTGCAAGGCCGCATGAGGCCTGCAGGCACCAAGGCCAGAGACACTTCACTGAGACTCCTAGGAAGAAAGAGCCCTTGAGGGTAGCTCCTCAGGGGCCAGAAGGCCAAAGGTCAGGGAAGTCCCTGGGGACTTGGGAGAAACCCCTGCTGGGATATCCCGCTGTGCTGCTTCACAGGACACTGAGGGGGGCAAGTGGATCAGAGCTTGTGTTGGCCCGACAGGGGCTCTGGGCAGTGCAGTGGCTCTGAGCAGTGATGTGAAGGAGTGTGGGGGTGTGATGGAGCAGCCAAGAGAGAAGGAATTGTTTTACATAAAGGGACGCACAGCTTTAGGCACAGTCTGCATGCAGCAGCTGTGGGGTGAGTGATACTATTCAGGACATTGGCTGTTTGAAAAATTGCAATTTTAAAATAAAATCTGGGGGGAAGGGAATAACTTATAAAAAGTGTTAAGCTGATTATTCCAGGCTGGCTGGCTGGCTCAGCTGGCTTGTGGAGGAGGGAGGTGCCCAGACCCTCTGCTTCATGGGCTACGCTCTAGAGCAGCTGTGGCCAACCGGTGGTCCGAGGACCACGGGTCCGTGAGGCCCGAAAGGTTGGTGACTGCTGTTCAAGACAGTAAGCCAGAAACCTCCCTGCCAGCTTCCAGCTCCTCCTCCATAACTTCTTAGTGGGGTGGAGGGTGAGGGGTGGGGGGGTGGAATAGCATCCTCCTGAAGCCTCACTTTCCTCCTGACTGCAAAATTCAGTTCATCTGAACAAAGACTTACTGCCGTCTCTAGACAATGCTAGGCACCCAAGCAATCCTTATTAATTTGCTTAAAATGTCTGCATTAACTTTAAATCTTGCAGAACACTTTTATATCCTACAGAGTTTTGTCTAAGGTAAACTGACTGACTTCTGAGACCTGGGCAATCAAGCAAGAGAAAATTAAAGTGGCACTCTCAACTGGTACTGGCAAATTTTGCAACTGTAAATTACTTGTCATAGTGATGTGCAGTTTTGGGACATGCCAAAATTAAATCCCCCTTTGTTCAAGCAAGTGAGAGGATAGATATAGTCAATGAAGTGATACTATTCAGGACATTGGCTGTTTGAAAAATTGCAATTTTAAAGTAAAATCTGGGGGAAGGGAATAACTTATAAAAAGTGTTAAGCTGATTATTCCAATAACTTCTTCCACTGCCTTCATATGAACAAGTCCCTTCATCCCATCCTGATTGACCCCCACCCACCCCTGACTCTAGATCACCCATTTGCAATTACGAACACTGCTAAGGCACCCTGTTAATCCTGTCATCAAAAAGGTACCAAATGTGAGTATCTACAAGTTCTCAGCTTCTTAAACATATATTAACTTGTTTGTCTCTCCCTGAACAAGAAACTTACACAGACAAATAAATAGCAAGTATTTAATTTGCTCAGGAAACAGAGAATGGAGACTATTTGTCCAACTACCCACAAACATGGTTATTGTGCTAGCAGATATCCCCAGCATAATTTAGAAAGAATGAGGGAAAAGCAATGAGCAGTTGCCCGATACTCACCGCAGCTCTTCCACTAACTGAACAGCCCCAAACTCCCTCTTTGGGTCCCATTCCCAGCCTTTTTTTTTATACAAACACATGTCCAAGTTGTTTGGATCTTGTTGCCATAGGCAACCAAATAGCAGAGTGTGAGCTAAGGAAACCGCACCCTGTGTCTCAGACCCTGCCTCGGTGAAGGCTGGTGAACTGTCACTCAGAATTGGGTCAGTTTCTGAAGCCAGCCCAGCAAAAGAGGGAATCAGACCACTGAACAAGCATCATGTTCTGAGCCAGCCCAGATCCAGTTTGTGCTGGCACACAGACAGACCCCTCATCTCCATAGAGTGATGATTGAAACATTCTTGGGCAAAGATAATTGCTCGAGACAGCTGTATCACAGCAGATATTTATCAAGACCAGAGAATAGTTCTTACTAGTACTTTCCCCAAAAAGGAAAGCAGGATGTTCCCTTACACAATTGAGTTAGAAATGGAAAGTAGAGACATGGTGAAACCAGGGTCCATCTCCTTGAACTATGCAGTTTACATAAGGCAGCTTTAAAACTGCCTTTAGCCTCAACATATAGAAAAATGTGCCTGTCACAGTGATAGCATGTTGAAAATCACTTTCCTATTTAATTCTTGCTGGTCCTTCACATGTCACATAAAATCTTTATCTTACTAGCTTTTTCCATATTGAAATTGTGCACTCAACAAAAATTAACTTTCTTGAAATCTCCAGTAACAGTAAATGCCAAGAAATTAAATTATCAGTGGCTCCTAAATGCCATTTGGCAGGAAATCAGAATCTATAAGATTAGACTACACTGTCTAGTTATCTCAGCTGGTTTAGCCTTTCAGACTATCGTCTTGGACCATATTTGAAAATCCCTCCTCCCTTACCAAAGTCCCTATTTACAGAATAAAACTTCGAACATTACTCATTTTAATCTCACGCTCTTCTAGGCTTAAGATGATGAAATAATCCATCGTTTTCCAATGAACATGGAAGTACCAGAGTGTGTTGTACATGGAGTCACATTCAATGAAGTTGCTCACCACTCTTATCATTCTTATAGTACAAGGTCTTAACCCAAGCAAAGGGCAAATTAAATGAATCCATCCCAAGTTAATGATGTTTTGGGATCCTAGCTTTAGGCATTATTTTTTTTTTCTTTCTGCAGTGTGAAAAATCCAGGGTCACCCTTTTAGAACTGATTTCCACAGTGGACTCAAGCTTTTTTCTTTTTAAAAGAAATCCTCACCTGAGGATATGTTTTTCATTGATTCTAAAAAGAGAAGAAGGGAGAGGGGAGTGAGAGAAAGAGAAAACACTGATTTGTAAGAGAAACATCGATCAGTTCCCTCTCGTTCATGCCCTGACTGGGGATCAAACCCGCAACCTGGGTATGTGCCCTGACTAGAAATCGAACCCATGACCCTTTGGTGCACAGGAAGATGTCCAAACAACTGAGCCACAGCAGCCAGGGCAAACCTTTCTCATATGTGTGGAAACACTTATTTGTCAAGATAAAATAGGCACTTCTAGGAATGTTGGCTTTATTGCCTAATAAGTGACAGGCTGGAAATACTTAACGCAAGTTAACAATGTCGATGGCAAATTCGTAAACTTTAGTACTCTTTTGCAATAAATCCAATTAATTGGAACTCGGCAACCCGAATTAGCTTACCTCGTGTTTTTCTAACCTTATGATTATTTGGTCTCAAACTATTTCAAACTGTCACACAGTGTGCTTAGGAGGAAGCTGGAATAATACATTCCTGCTGATGAGATAGTTACCATGTCAAAACTTTGAATAAAATATGAACGATGTGTACAAGAGCAAAATATTTTGTTACCACTTATCTTCAAAGAGGTTAACAGCTCTAAGAGCTTATAAATGACAACACTGAGAGCTTCCGAAAAGACAGAAAATACCCAGATTTGTGGGCTCCATCGAAATGAGATCTAGTTAGGCGCTGACTTCATGATGAGAGAAAAGCTTTGTACTTCCCTTTCTTTCCCTTTGTTGTAAATAAGAGAATAGAGAAAAATGATGGAATTGATCTTTTTTCTTTGGGGCTCTCTTTAATCTTAATTAATGACATATACTGAGGTGTTTATCTCCGAGGGAACAATTTTTATCCCTTTAGCAATTTCTAAGTACATGAAATCCGAAGACTTTTAACCTCCCCGAACTTCCAGATGTTTGCCTTGACCTAGTGCTGTTATCTGGGAAAGGGCATGTCATCAATCATTAAATGAAACTTGGATACATATAACTACAGCTCTGCTTCCCTTCCTGCCTGTCTCTGTCCAGGCCATGTTTGCCCTAGGGTAGCTCTCTAATTTTAACCTCACAGTGTGGCCCTCATCTGGACATGGTGATGAGGTTTCTCTATCACAGAAAAGTTTGCCAATATACTAGGAGCCTCAGGAACCTAATTCAGGACCTTGTATACACAAGTAACACAGTACATGCCTATTGACTGACAGACGGAGATAAGTCACCACCATTAAAAGCTTTTAAAACTTCTTTTATTAAAAGCATTTTATAACAAATATTTCTGTTTTGGAAAATCAGGGGCAGCTCCTGTGACCCTAAGGTGCTGACATCTAACCGACCGTCCTTTATAGACTTAGTAGGTTAGAATGCAGTTGGAAATGTAACTGGATGATCAAGTTTTAGATATTTATTCCAAGGTGGTAGCCTGACTTTCATGCTGTGCCTGCTTCAAAAGCCACATCATTCTTCACTTAATAAACAAGCTTCCTCTTTCAGAAAATTCCTGAACAACATCCAACATGCTACGAAGTGCCTACATAAACCTCAGTATATCAATAAAAACTTTTGGGTTTTTATATAATCATGCACATATATAAATAATATAACATTGCAACTTTTTTTACTATAAATCTCTCATTAGAGAAAATTATATTTGTATTTAATAATCTTGCTTGTATTTTTATGTGTATTTTCTCACATATTTCATACTAATGTTCATTTTCCCCTCCTGCCTAAGTGGCTCAAAATAAGAATATTTAGGGAAAAAGTGAATATTATAACTAGGTAGCATTTTTCTAACTAAGCACTTTCTCTGAGTGGTATAATGTACAGTGTAAACAGTGAACAGCAACCCAAATGGAAAAAAAAAAGTTCAGTCTATTTCTGGTCTGTTAATTGCTAAGTCCAACATACCAGTATGTTAGTCACTCTGTGTATAAATATTGGCTTCTAAAGAAAGGGTATATTGCTTTCCTGAGAACATTCAACAAATGGAACGGAGCCATTTGCAGATGAATAAGACCCTTGTTTAATAGACATGCTCACGCACCTGGGGGTGTCGTCAGACATTTGGGAATAAATGCCTAAGAAGCTGGAA